CCTCCACTGGTGAGTCTAGCACCTCCACTGGTGAGTCTAGCACCTCCACTGGTGAGTCTAGCAGCACATCCATTAGTGAGTCTAGTACCACTATCATCATCAGCAGTTCCTCCGATGCTGATTCAAGTACGTCGGATGGTGTGTCTAGTCGGACTGTGGCTGGTGACGAGGAGATGGAGGGAGAGTCGGTGGGAAGCTCGACGGAGCCGTCTCTCACGACTAGTGCGGCAGTGATTCGGGCTTTGAGTTCCTCTTCCACTGCTTGGGAGGAGACTACATCGTCCAGCGTGGCGGAGACGACGGCTGCGTCACAGCCATTGAGTTGGTTGAAGCACACTTTTGTGAAGGACAAGACACCTCTGCAGGCATTGGTGGAGCAGGCGGACGTGCGGATAATCGGTGATTCTGTGAGGACAAGCGATAAGTATGAGTCGCTTAAGATGATTGGAATGACGCTCTTTATTCCGGTGGATTCGGCCTTCGATCAGCTCCCCTTTGAGTTGAGCACGATAACCCAGAATGGCGTGGTTAAGGAGAATCCCGAAGCCTACAACTGGACGGCCGTTGAGCCTTGCTTGGGCTGTCAGTCCATGCGGCCTCATTACAGCTTCAAGCCCACGTTGGGTGTCTCTGCAGCGCACGCTAAGATTGCCAAGGATCTCGAAGACTTAATTCTGTACCATGTGGTCCGGAGACAAGTACCTCCCGGCATGATCGAAAAGAAGATGAAACTCAACATGCGGTCAGAAATGAATGGCAGCACTCTTTCAATTGAATATGCGATGCCTGGTGCTGGTTCTGGATCGCAAGCCGGACCAAGCTCAGCGGGCTATAGCTCAATCACGGGGCAACAGCACAAGCAACTTCCCGCATCAAACGCGGTTCCCTCAGTCGTCATTGGTAGCACTGGCGCTCGGGTTTTGGAGGTTGTCCATTGCCGGAACGGCTTCATCTATAAGCTAGATCGCCCCCTGACGCCGTCATTCAATGTAAATGCTCCGACATTGATGGAGTACATTAGCAATCATCCGGAATACACAAGATTGAAGTACCTGCTACTTCATTCGCACCTTTTCGATGGCTGGATCGGAAGCGCTGGTCCTATTACCGTGCTGTTGATAAAAGATGATGGTTGGAAGATCAACGGCATTCCAGTACCGGATTGTTTCTTCAAGGCTCTGGTGAGACCGGCAAATCGAGACATGCTTCTGAAAATATTAAAGTGGGTTACTGTACCGGGTATTTGGAGGAGGGGAGAGATTGAGAACAGTCAGTGGCTGCTCAATACCGAGGCACCGGCACTGATGGTAAACCATGTTTATCGTTTGGTCGATAATACCGGGAAAAAAGCGCTTTCTAATGATGGCGCACACGTGTTTGCGAATGGTAAATATTTCGGTACTGTTCCCCCCCGAGAGCCGGAGATCATTATTACAGGTGAAGACGGTATAGGAAGTGAGGATGGTCCGGAGGTATTTCGTGGTAATGGAGATTTGTTGATTTTGATAGAAGGAAAGGAGGTGATTGAATGGAATATTCCCCTGCATAATGGGTATGCCCATGTGTTGAGTGAATTACCCTTACGACCTGATATTGATTTGACTCCGGTTCTGTGGGATTGTTTGGATTTCTTATGCTCGGAATGTCCTATTGTAACCAAGTTTGCTCTAAAATTCTTGGACAATGGGGGCCTACTGCCAGATGTGTCTAATCCGAAAGCATATATTGTTCCGAATGGTATCCGTCCTGACTGGGTGTGTAGTAACCATAGAAATTGGTTCCCTCCAGGTTGGGAGTTGCGGGAATGGAAAAAATACATTGATGCAGCTAAGATGAACAATTACAAACAAGCTCAGAAACTGGCGAAGGAAGGATGGTTCAAAGCAGCGGCCAAACGTGAGAAGCTATTAGACCAATATGAAGAAGCTAGACAACATCTAAAGAGGATCTGGGCACATTATCATGACCCACAATCATACGTTATGGGACGCAAGGAAGATCCAACACATCTCTTGGGTTGGCTCAATAGTAAACGTGACCTAAGCATGAAACCTGGAATCTGCGAACCTCGAGACCGAATGTACAAGCATCGCCATGGTTTCAGCCATCAATCTAATAGTATTATAGTGGATGATGAGGATATAGGCTTCTCATATGACGACTGGAAGTACATTACCCAATGGATCTAGGTCATTGAATTCACCCCATGAATTGGACCCATGATGAATTGGACCCATGATTAATTGGACTCATGATGAATTGGACCCATGATTAATTGGACTCAGTAGCCCTGGCTTGGTTGTATTGCCGGTCACACTTTAGCTAGCTCATTTTTGTGACCCAAAAAAGGCATGGACCTTGCCGGTGATGACAATGATATATTAGACTCCATATTGCTGTAAGGGAGATATCTTTTTTCTGCATGTCTTTAAGGAGTCCCTAGAGTTCGTTTGGAGTTCTCCGGCAGATGCACGTGTGCGGATGGAAGGATATTGTTCAGGGTATTGAGGATGCTAATTTAGCGTTGTTCTTGCAGAGCTGATCGTTCCGGAGTGAAGACATGTGAGGCATTGGCCGCGGCATTACGGCGTTTGTTCACTGGTTCTGTGTTGGAGAGTTCGGTTGTGGATATGCACCCGTTCCCGGCCCCATTTGTTTCAGAGCAGCTTGCTTCAGTTCCGGGTGCGATGAAGACGCGGAAGCGCAAGAAATGTCCGGGCAAGGTGGTTTTCGATGTGTTGGAGGGACTGAACGCCCGTGTGCCGGATGTCCCACTCAAAACCGTTGCGCGGGCAGTCGCCTTCGCCGCAAGCCGTCTCGCACGACGTACACATGCCCGAGACGACCGCAACTTCGTCCTAGAACTGCACCATCTGCAACGAGCCCTACTCGCCCTCCATCACAGCGTCTTCTGGGTCGCAAACACTCTCGAACGCAACAACCAACCCGGGGCCAGACAACGACGTATGAACCGCGCAGAGTTCGAAAGACGCACAGACCTAACCCTCGCACGTATCGTCGCCCCTCCAGAGGAAGACCGAAGACCTGGAGAGGTACCGCCCGGAGAGATAGCACCTGGAGCTGGAGAGGTAGCACCTGGAGCTGGAGAGGTAGCACCTGGAGCTGGAGAGGTAGCACCTGGAGCTGGAGAGGTAGCACCTGGAGCTCGAGAGGGAGGACCAGATCCCCCGTCTCCAGGTCCTCCTTCTCCAGGAGAGACGGAACCTCGAGAGGGAGAAGAACTCCGAGCGGGAAACCCCACCGCGATCCCGGTCGAGTCCGCACCGTTCGAACAACTGGAGGCGGGCGGTGGCGACGAGGAGATGACAGAGGAAGAGGGCGAGTCGGGAGCGGCTGGAGAAAGCGAAGTGTCCAGTCGCGAGGTCGGGGACCCCTCGGACGATGCGATGGTGCATGACCTACTCATGGGTTTGTCGCAAGCGGTGGGTGGGGCTCCTAGTAAAGTGGAGTCGCCCAGCAAGGTGGAGCCGGCTGGTAAGGTAGAGCCGGCCCGGAGCGTGGAGTATGATAAACATGGGTTGCGGTGTTGCCGGATACTATCTTGTTTAGTGCATTGTATGATCGGCATTGTTAACACACTGGCTGCGTTCCATGCCGATGGAAACGAACCTACTGACATAGCCCTGATTGCCCTGAGGACCCTGATTGACACGTGGGAGGTGGCCGAAAAGTGTGTGCCCGGTGGACTCCTGTACACCATCGAGCTTCAACGTCTCGCTAACGAGAGAAAGACCTTTGAGAAAAAGACCGCGGACAAGGGGGCTGGAAAAGCGGCGGAGAAGGGAAAGGTGGCGGTCCAACAGGGCATGGCTAAGGGCGTGGTCGAGCCCAAGGGCACGGCCGAGCCCAAATTAATTCAGGCGTGCAGCTTGAACCCTCTCGCGGACTTTTGGTGGCTGCGATGCGGGTTCAGTAAACCCTCCAGTATCGTGCCTGTGGCAGACACCACGTACAATGGGCCATTTGTCCCGGCAGGTGGTAGCGCGGTTGACGCTGTGGAAACTCAGTTCGCCAACACGTCCTCGACCCTGACCGACCTGGGCTTCAAGCCGGCTCTGTATCTGTCTTTCGTCAAGCACTTCCTTGACGACTTGGTTTTACCGACTGGCGTCTCGCCAGGAAACCCGTCTGGCGGCTCGTCAGGGTCCTTGCCAGCGGGGCAGGGGGCAATGGGACAGAGGGCACTGGGACAGAGGGCAATGGAGTATGACGTGGATAAGATATTGCGAAGCGATCGAATCCTCCAGCTGATAAAATACAGCATTAATGTAGTGTTGGCTATGAGGCTGCCCCAGCTTGACGAGAGCTGGCTGATCCGATGTACCGACCATGGTCGCTGGGATCTGAAGTATCTATGCGTCATTTTGTTGAACAGGTGCTTCAAGTTCGACCGCTGGTCTCTGGACGCCCAGCGGAAGCTAGAGATGCCAACTCAAGGTTTAATTTGGGACAGGTCGGCATATGTTAGAGATGCCGTGGCCAAAACGTTGATCACGTTGTCCTATCAGTTGCCGTACAAGGACGGCGCCTTCAAGCGGTTCGCGCCGCTGCTGCACAGTCCGTGGCGGCCGTTCCGAGAGTCGGGCGTTGCGCTTATCAGCAAGTGTCGTGCCATAAATCTGGTCGCTCTTTCTCAAGCCATCCGTATCCTCATTTCCAACGCAATTGCTAAAGTGCCTCCCAGCGGCGAAGGCCCAGCTCTTCGAACAAGTTCGCCCTCAGGAAGGTCGACTAGAAGTCCCTTCAAATCGACGACCAGACCACAGGTACATAATGCGTCAGCACCGAATGGGTCAGGACCTAATGGGCCAGCATCTAGCGGGTCTGACACCGTCATCTACACAAGCTTGGAGTCGTGGATGGAGGCCGCCAGTGACATCGCCGTTACAAACCGCCATTTGACGAGTGAATGCAGAACTGCGGTGACCGAGTTCTGGTCAAGGAGTTTCGAGAAGGGTCCCAAGGGTCCTGCATTTTTGGTGTTTTGTGCGTTCGCGCTCTCGGTATTCGAAAGGCAATTCGATGAAATGCTACCGACCATACCTATACCAATTTTGGAGAAGTACGACTTGCTCCAGAACCTGTTTCCTAGACGATTTACCAAGACTCTGATCGTACTACCGCCTACCGAAAAACCCAGGAGCGTGAAGTTGGCTTTCAGCCCACGAGGCGAGCCTATCCAGCCTGTCGGTCCACAGACACTTGGTCCAGAGACACTTGGTCCAGAGACACTTGGTCCAGAGACACTTGGTCCAGAGACACTTGGTCCAGAGGACTCGTGTGACCCCGAGTCATTAGTGCCCGAATCGCTCGGCCAAGAGACACTTGGTCAAGAAACGCTTGGTCAGGACGCTACTGACGGCTTGGTTCAAAACTTCTTGAAAGACAATTTCGGTATCGACGCAAGACCAGCGGGAATCGGACAAGCGGGAGGTGAATCGGCGGTGCAGCCGGGAGAGGATGAACCCATGTTCGGAGAAGAAGTGAATTCTGCAGACGAGGCCGAGAACCCACCGTCAGATTCCGACCAGCTGCTTTTGTCCGAGACAGACCGGGCGCCGTGTTCGTCTCAGCCGGACTCATCCAACCCAAATTCGGTTGTGACTCCCGGCGCTGCTACCCCGGCTTCGATCGATATTTCTGATAGTGAAGAAGGAAGCGAGCAGCAGGAGATGTCAGCGGAGCGACAGCCGATTGGAAAACTGTATACACCTGGACCCCTTCCGGTCTGCCTATATGCTCATTGCCAGAGAGTTGTAAGTCCTGTGCTCCTCTTGCGGTGGCGAAGCCTGGACGACCTACCTGGAGAAATTGTCAAAGACTACAAATTGGGGAACCCGGCGTATGTCGGACTACCTGTCCAAAACATGACAGAAGCAACGCCCGAAAGCATACCATGCCTGGTTATCTGTGTGAATAAACGACTCACACCGACGTGTGCGCGGCGACGACCAACCTTTACGACCTCGTTCCTGGAATCGCAGCTAAAAGAGGCTGCTCCTGATGTATGGGCATTCATGTTCAATGCTACAAATCTTAACTACTTCAATCTCGTCATTGAGGGCGCAACACCCGGGAGTGTGCTGGAAGATAAAAATTCCAACATGGTCGCTACAGTTAGTTCACATTTCAAACAGTCCTTCCACATGGCAGTACAGCAAACCGGATGGAACGTACTCATTCTACGACCGCCATCAACGGCCGTTTCCCGACGTGGTGCCTAAGCTGCGAAGGGTTTGTCAAAAGTCGGTGTCGCTGCTGATCACTACAGTTCTTATCAGTATTTTTCAAAATCGATGTACTTGGAAGCGTCCCCTACCCTGTGCATTTTTCCAGGCCGATCAAACAGTGGTCCAGGCTCCTTGCCAAACGCGTAACGAGGCGAAAATTGAGGTGACTGAGCTGGAGGCTTAGCAATTGCCACTGGCCTCCAGTTCGGAACATTTAATTGTTCAACTGGCAGTCTTGAGGGAAGACCGGGAGCCCTGTCTGGCTCTCCATGGATGATGTGGTCCTTGGCAGGCTGATTGTCCAGCATTACTATCACGTTGGATGGTTCTGGCGGAGCGTAAGAGGGAATCATTTCCGCGACTTCCACCACGGGCACCTCGACCACCGGAATGACAGGCGCGGCAGCGCCCTTGGATGGTGCTGGTATCATGGTGATCTTTTTCCGTGCGTCAGTGCAGCATACTAGAGCAAGCACGGATAAAAGCTTCATTATGGAAGGGTGCGCACACACGTGTGCAAATCTCAAAATAATCTAAAGCTGGTTGTAAAGATCAATAATCTCCCGTTCAAACCTCTTTTTGCATTCTGCCCTTCTCAGTTTCAAGGTCGGCGTGAGCATGCGGTTCTCGACAGTGAATGGGTCAGGAGTAATCACGATTTTTTTCACCTTTTGGAAGCCAGTAACTTGGTTGGCCTTTTCGACTTCTTGCATGTTGCTGAATACGGCTTGTTTGAAGTCGTCCCTTGCGCAGAGTTCGTCAAGTGATTTGCCTTGGAGGTTGTTGAGAGCGCACCATTTGCTGGTTTCTTCTTCATCGGGTACGACGATGGCGACGAGTGCGCTTTTGCTGCTATCCCCGTAAACCATGATCTGTGAGACTAGGCTGGCAGATGAGTAAATGTTTTCAAGCTTCTCTGGCGCCACGTATTCACCTTGGCTGAGTTTGAAAATGTTCTTTTGTCGATCGATGATTTTAATAGCATTTCCTTCGATGAGTTCAACGATGTCTCCGGTATGGAACCATCCATTTTCAAGGACCTCAGCAGTGAGGTCGGGTCTTTCGAGGTAGCCAGGAGTGACGGAGGGTCCCTTGATACAAAGTTGGCCTCGACATTGTGGTCCGCTGACGAAGTAGCCAGTTTCAGGAACGGATCGTAGAGCAAACTGGCAGCAGGGTTGCACTCCTCCAATATGACCAGCAATCTTGTCCCCGGGGTTACAAATGAATACAGGTCCTACTTCAGTCATACCGAACCCATGTAAGACGGGGCAGCAAAAAATAACGCTTACTTCTTCCTGAACTTTCGCTTCGATAGGAGCTCCGCCAACCAGCATAAACCGAATCCGGCCTCCCATTACGGCTTTAGTCTTTTTGAACACTAGAGCGTCCCATAGAGGGTGGGTATAGATACCCTTCTCCCTTAGATTCTGGAGTTTTGTGTTCATTGCCGTTTCGAAGATGAATTTTGCGACGTTAGATTTCTCGTTTAAGGTACTAATAATTTTGTCATGGATTCTCATGTACAATCTTGGTACTGAGAGGAAGATGGTTGGTTGAATATATTTCATGTCGTCCAAGAGTTTTTGTGTATCTCCGGAGTAACATGCAATTTTTACTCCGAGTACAAAGCAGTTACCACAAATAATTCGTTCGAACACGTGTGCTAATGGAAGGTATGAAATGTGTGTATCCTCTTGTCCAATTCGGAAACCGGGATGGCTCATGATACATCTCCTATGGGCAGATAGTAGGCTGGTATAGTTATGTGCCGTCATCATCACACCCTTTGGTGCACCAGTTGTTCCACTCGTGTAACATACTGTCGTGAGATCTTCTGGCTGTTGAGTCGGTAGGTCAATCTCCGGATGATCTCGTCCTTCCTGTACAACATCTTTCCAATCAATCAATTCAGCCCCAATTTCTTTTGCTTTCTCTAAGTCTTCTTCACTCGGCTTATCATACATCACTACATACTTAATGTGGCTAGTAAATTGTGTATCTACAATGCTCGCTATCATCGGCTGTAACACACGGAAACTCTCCCTTGAAGCAACCAATAACTCCATCTTAGTCTGATCCAGTATCTGATGTAATGCATCACTTCCTAAAGAGTCATACAACGGTACTAAACAATAATTCGCCGATACTGCTGCCTGCTCTGATATAAACCACTCTGGTCGATTCTTTGATACCAAACCCATCATCCTTACCCGTCGGGCCGGCTCATATGCTTCCGTTGGAAACTCACTCACTGATGTGTAACCACGACGTTCCAACCCCCGAGCAAATTCCTGAACCAACGTCATAAATTCGCCATACGTTACCCACGACACCGTCGATTGTGGAATCATGTCCTCTCGACTCCGCTGCAAAGCACAGTCCCACACTCGACTCCCCAGAAACTCTTTGTCCCTCATCTCGGGATCCAGCGCCGTACTCGCCATACAATCCAACCTGAAGTTGCACACACGTACGTTGTGCACCGTGCACGGCACCTTTACCCAACCACACACACACGGTCGTGAGCACACACACACGGTCGCGTGCACACACACACACGGCCGTGTGCACACATACATACGTTGTGTACATACACACGTTCTGGCGTGGGGCTGCAACGCGCAATCCCGCTGTCAAGGTGCCGACGAACTTACGGGTTCTTCCAATCTCGGTCAGGCATGTTTTCGACTAAAGCGTCTGGGTACTGTGCGCACCTGTACACCCCAGAGGCGTCCGCGAAGGGCGGATCCTCCGTCTGGACCGCGTAGGTGATTGGTGCATCGGACGTCGTCAGCGAGTTGCCCATCGATCGATTTTTAAAAAAAGGAGCAGCACTCCGGTGCAGCTTTATTTCATAGCTGGATACTCACCGGATTGAACAAACCGATTGAGCTGGAATTGAACCTGGGATCTAGGGATTAGGAGATGCAGCAACAGACACGTCCAGGTTTTTGGGTGGGGTTCCGTGTGCAGTGCGAATACACTCAATGGCCAAGTGGTGTGGCACTAGTATTGGCCATGTTCGACGAGCGTGGGAATATGATAAGTCACATGCACACGGACGATGTTGTGGACCATCCGCGGTTGAAGATGAAGTCCGAAGACGACCTGGCAAATAATGTGCGGACACGAGAGATCATAATTGACCTTGTGCCGACGACCTTCAATACATACCCACCAGTGATGAGTTTCATAGCGGGAATTTTATTGCCCGTGGGCTGTTCCATGCAGCAGTTTGGGGAGGCAGATGGTAAGGCCTACATGGTGATGAGTACGGACGAACCTAAACGGTCAGAATCATCGTGGTCTCCCCGTGAAAAAAGCGGTTCGGGTCTCCCGGATACGGCCCGTGACAAACAGAGATACAGAGAGAGTGGGTCGCCGAGTAGTCACTTAGATAGACAGGCGGGTAGTCACCTAGTAGGGCATATGGTTGAGAGTGCGGTGCACACATTACGGGTAGTGCGAGACTTTCCTCTCAAGTGGAGTGGGAGCAAGAATGGTTGTGTACTGGCTAGTATATTACGAAACGAACAAGTGAAGCGTGTAAGTCAGATCCCGGATCCCATATCACTGGTCTGCGAGTATTGGTTCTTCCGTTACAGTTCAGCGGTCTGTGTGCTACATGATGTGACGGATTTGTTGTCATTGTTCCGTGATGAAGCGCAACAGAACTGTGCATTGATGCGCCACAATGCTTATGCGGGATGTATCCCGCTTTCCGATCTTGGACGACAGAGCATGGTCGAGTTTGTGAGCGACCTTAAAAAAAAGGAAGCTCTTGAACGACCCAGCCAACAAATTCTCAACGCATACCCTGAAGACCAACTCACGCAATGGAACGTCACTAGTCTACCACTCGATAAGGTCTCCTTCATGCTCTCCTATCTCAACCAACGTATGGACCTCAATGACAAGAACCTCCAAGACATCTGGAAACTCATCCATTACCTAAAGATGGAAGCCGACTTCAACGATGATGAACTTGCTATCGTAGGCATGCTCGCACGCAAAATGGAAGACTTCGAAAATCTCCTAATGGACATGTACCACAGTACAGCACACAAAACAATGCAAATTAAAGAAGCCATCGACCTCGGTACACACCAAGATGAGATACCCTTCGACGGGGATCAACCAACACACTCCGCCACTGCACCTCCCCCTCCTCTGGGCTGCAGTTCACTAGGCGATACCCACCAAGGTGGTACTTACCAAGGTGGTACTTACCACGGTGGTACTTACCAAGGTGGTACTTACCAAGGTGGTACTTACCAAGGTGGTGATGGTCTTTACCCGGGAGGTACTGGTCTCCTCCCGGGCGCCAGTCTGGGGGGTCTTGAAGAAAGCTACGCCTGTCCAGTACGTGGCGGCGTCGGTCCACCTAGTGACCACTTCCACCATTTGCCTAACATCTGTTGCCCACCACCAGGACGCGGGAAGCCCAAGCCGCCAGCACGTAGTTGTTTTCCAGGCAAGCTCCATTACGAACCAATCAACGAAGCTATAAGACATCTGCCATCCATCAAAAATGAAGAAGACGAAGGGCGTATCATTGCACAACATAGGCGAACCATCCCGGCCGCAGCTACCTTCCTTCTCGACAACCAATGGGGCTAATTTCCTGCGCCTTCAAACTGGAATAGGATATGGCTGTGAGATGGAACTGAAGATTGAGCCTTCAGAACATTGGGCCTTGACTCCTATGGTCTGCTGTGGCCTTCGCTTCTATGGTCTGCTGTGGCCTTGGTTCCTATGGTCTTCAGTACCTGTTTTTTTACGGCTCACTTCAGTGACCAAGACGTCGCCTTCATGCATGGAATACCTGCGTTGTCCAGTGGTGGCCATCAATTCATCGATTTTACCGGCACAAGAATTGAAGTCAATCCATTTTTTCAGTGTCTTAATATTGCTTGGTTTTGATGCACGAAGACTAGTCACGAGCGGCGGTTTGTCTAACTCCTCCAGCTCCAGTCTTTCCAGTTCCGTAAGAGCTTCACCGGTGGAGAGGACTTGTTGTGCGAGGGGCCGCATTTTCTTGCAATTAAGTACTTGGAGAATATACGGTATATTTGGTGTCATCGCACACGTGTGCTGCTGAATTAATTTATTCGACTGGTCATCGTGATCGTCATTTGGCCTTATAGCGAGTCCCCGGATAGATGTATCTATCGACTTTGGATGGTCGGAGGCAGAGGTAAGGGTAGATGTAATGGTAGATGTAATGGTAGATGTAATGGTAGAGGATGTTAACTTAAAGTGCGCGTGATCTAGCTCCGATAGCCGGAATATAAACATTTTATGAAGCACCCTTTCAAGGGCATGTAAGGCCTCATATCCCAGTATGGATCTCGAGATTTTTAAAGTGCGCTCACCTTCTTTGTCGATGAAGGATTGATTCTGTAAAAGTTGTTGTAGCATATTCTTTATCTTGTCATCTCGATGTTTGATTGCTGCAGCCTGTACGGCAACGGCATCTAATAAGCTTGCCATACAGGTTCGTAAGTGAGCTGTATGTCGTGGTAGTTCTGTCCCATATGAGTTTTTTGTTTTGTTCGTCAGCATTCCTAGATGATATTCTAAGGGTTCAATAACATGGCAGCAGATGTTCTTTAACTGTTCTGCCTGTTTGAGTAAGCCGGTTCGGATGGTGTCCTGTTCGTGACTTCGTGTTTTAGTAAGTTTATTATTACGATTATATCGGAATACGTCTTTAAATTTGCCAGTAAGAATAAGATCTTTGGCCTCATTATTGCACCTTGATGAGATCTCACTTGCACGTTTAAGACTTTTCGGCACTTTCATTTGTTGTGATGTTGTAGTCATTTGTTGTGATGTTGTAGTCATTTGTTGTGATGTTGTAGTTACTTGTTGTGATGTTGTAGTTACTTGTTGTGATGTTGTAGTTACTTGATTTAAAATTAAGGAAATTGGAGTACATGATTGGGTCATGATTTCCAGTATCCAACGACCGTCTGTGGTTACAAGTATAATCTGGTCATCTTCTCTTCTAAACTCCACAGACTTAGTTGGAACATCCACTGATAACATAGGAAGCATAATCTCCCATTCTCCATGCACCCACACATCTGTCAAATCCACACGATCCACACGTTTAATTCCATTAAATAATAATAAACGATCGTTCAATTGTAAATCCCACACGAAGCATAAGTACTCCAATATCGATCGAGGTAATCTTAAACGACATGATCGTAATATCAAATTACCCACATAATCTATACTCTCATCTGTAACCACAAACAACGCGAAATACTGACTTAATAAATCACCCAACATCTTCGGAGACCATCCTACATGATAAAGGGTGTGTGTGTGCGTTAATAGTGTGTGTGCTAAGGGGGGGTGTGTGCTAAGGGGGGGGTGTGTGCTAA